CACTGTATTATTATTATTATTATTATTATTATTATTATTATTATTAGTATTAGTAGTAGTAGTAGTAGTAGTAGTAGTAGTAGTAGGTTTTTTGGGCTGTCTGGCCGTGTTCTTGAGTTTGAAAGTGGTGGGGTCTAGAAGTTCCCTGATTTTGTCCTTGTATTCTTCTGTTTGCATGATTACTGTGCTATTGCCTTTGTCTACTGGCAAAATGATGATGTCAGGATCTGAGTTTAGGGACTTCAAAAATGGTGCTTTCCCCCTGCCTTTTTACATGCTGGGCAAACCCCGCGAGGCTGCCTTTGAAAGCGCCGCTGTCTGCGGGGTGGCGGGGGGCAGCTTTCCCCCCCATAGGAACGCATTAATTAAATTTCAATGCATTCCTATGGGAAACGCGCCTCGCAAAACGAAAAATATCGCAAGACCCTTTTGTCTTGTAAATTTTTCGTCCCGTGAGGCATTCAACTTGCGAGGCACCACTGTATTTATAAATTCATTTTTCATAGGTCCTGGAGTTCTTTTCAGTTCTTCAAGACTAGCTGTTGTTTTCTTGATATGAATCTGTCCTTGATTTATTAGCAGATCAGGCTTCTGAAAAATCAGAGTTTTTTCAAAGGCAACAAAAAATCATGGAGAAAATGCAAGGTTCTTAACAATCTGTACTTTTTCAGGATCTTCAGAATGCCTTTAGCTTTGTTGCTGTCGCTCTCCTTCCCAGAGCTCACATTTTCAAGGTGTGTCACAAAAGATCTCCAGTCTTGAATGACAGCTTTGATGGTCCTCACTTTGCTGGCTACCCAATGTACTGTATGCAATTTCTGCAATTTCAGCAGTTTTGTTGAGAGAACTTCTGTTGTTTCCGACGATTGCTTTTGCTTTTTACTGGACCTGATGTATAATTTGTACACAGAAATTAGGCAATGGTCGATTTCATCAATACAGGATACTCTTTTAAGTTATTTCAGCACACTTAACTGAAGTTTGTGTGCAACACAATGAACAGTTGTGATATGTATTTGCGAAGGCTTATGATGTGATTTGCACAAAAGTTGTGATATGATTTGCACAATTGGTAATTTTAATTGCCAAACCATCAACACCCCCTATCATCGAAGGTGTTCCATCAATTTTCAGTGACAGTCCAAGTTTTGCATTTACGTTGTTACAGTAGCTTTGCATCAGTCTGTCCTGGTCTTTAAACAGGGTCTGCTGAGCCCTGTAGACCATTTGTCACCAGATGCCCAGGGCGTATAGCATCTGATGCGGTCCTTGTTGACCTGGGCAATGACCGATCTGGTATGGCTCTGTTTATATCCTCTCGTCATAGTTGATTTTTGGTGGACACAGTTGGTCTAGCTTCTCAGCTGAAACCTGTCTGGCTTGGGAGACCCTTCAGCATAGCTGTCAATCTCAATGAAGCACACAAGCCCCTCCGCCTCATCAAGGCCTGTGTCCATGGAGGGATGATGATTATGATGATTAGTCAATTAAAGGTATCACCTGCTATGTTTCTCACAGCTTACTTCAAACCTAGAACAGTATTATAATTTTTCTTATGATTAAATGTTTGGCCTGGCTTATGAAATAAATAATAATGTTTTGTTCTGGTATTTTAAAAAGCAAAGTCAAAAAGTGTAAGGCAGTTCAGAAGTGTCTGGTTATTCTACATATATATTTCACAGTTCATACCAAAGTTTGTTTTGTTTTAATTTTGCTTTAGCTATCCTATCCTTTAGATACCTCTACTATGTTTTTGGAACTTGATATCCCATGTACAGAAAAAAAATTATCCAGGTCTTCTCTTCCACCTCATCTTCTTAAAACTGTGGGTTGTACTAAAATATCAGACCCCAATCAAAATAAGGGTGTTTTTTTGCAGCACATCCAATATAGTGGGTTCCAAATTTACCCAGCATTCAGAATATTCTCATTTAACAACAGATTTGTTAATGCACTATTAAAATAAGGATATTTGATTAATTAATTTTTAAATTAATTAATCCACCAAGCAGCTTTTGAGTTAGATGTGAAAGAACATGAGTAGAGGGAGAATCTGGGGCAAATCTGACTCCCCAGGAATTAAAATCAGTGATTGTTACAGTTTCCATCATTGCCATAGTGTTCCTGAACTACAAATAATCTTGAAGAAAGCTTCATATTTTTATGTGCAGTTACCATAATCATAATTAAATATGCTTATTTTTAAGTACAATTTGATTATGCATCTTAAAGTTAGTAATTATGTATTTTGTAAACTAAAGAAGAAATAATGGCTGAGGTTCATTTATTCTTCCCTTCTCCCCCAATGTGTATTAAAAACTAGAATGTTTTCCCAGGCAAACCTCAAACCCCAAAATTGATCTTTCTCCATATTCTGGCCTATTCTGTGAAGCTTATTTGAATCTGCTGAAAGAGAGATCATGAAATACCACCTTGTTTTTCAAAAATCCTCTTCCTTTTATTAATGATGTTAAAATGTTTACTATACCTATATTTACCCTTCCTTCATATCATGATATATTTTTGTATTTTGCAAAAGATGTACATTGTGTGTTAACTCATCCTGTTAAATCTGTTTGTTCCTCTTAATAAAACTACCCTAAACTTGTTCTCTTCTCTTTAGGTTGGGATAAGCACTCTTATGGCTACCATGGTGATGATGGACACTCCTTCTGTTCTTCTGGGACAGGACAGCCCTATGGCCCTACGTTCACGACTGGCGATGTGATTGGCTGCTGTGTGAACCTTATCAATAACACATGCTTCTATACAAAGAATGGACACAGTTTAGGTAGACAAGCAATAATTTCACTTTGTTTAATTTTGTTTCTGAATTGCAAACCAAGCAGTTGTCTGTCCTTCTAATTTAAGCTCTAACAAAGCAGTGAAGAACTTCTTGCTTCTGGATGAAACAAAAAACAGGAAGAGAGAGCATGGCATAATTATTTGTGCTAATGCTTGCAGGTGTGTAAATAGCTAGTGTTATCTATTGACATTCTCTGGCCAGTTCAGCTGTAAGAAACACACAAAGTATTGAACATCAAGATGCCCGAAGCAATCTCACAGTCTGGCCAGAACCTAGATTGAAATGGATTTAGGTAATCCATCTCATTCAGAGTGCTGGAGCTGTGATAATGTCACATGCTCTAGAATTCAGGATAGATATTATCTGGTATAGTGAGTTTCAGTAAGTGTTAGTTAGTTAGTTAATTTGTTTTAAACAAAGGCCTCATCACGCCTTTTAGGTAAAGTGTGATCAAATATTGTCTCATTTTCCTATTCCTCCCCCTGAAACTATTTTTATAAGGCAGGAAGAGTTTAACACGTTTTTCTCACTTCTACAAGAATCCTGTCCTTGTCCTTAGATTTTACAAATGGAAAAGTAATCCATGATATTGAGATATGCAGAGGTCAAATTTGCATCACTATGTAAGCAGAAGAAAACCTGAATACAGTGTTCAAATGCTATATTCTGAAATATCTCACTTTGATAGTGGAGCTGTCATGATAGCTGAGCATATTTCAGCTATTACATTTAAGCTGGCATAGATACAAATGATTTTATCTGATTGTACTCAGTTAACAGGTGGCCTGCAGTTTCTTCTTAATAAACTAAACATAATAGGCCTTGGGCCACACATAAAACTCTGTTGGGCAGTCACAGCGATTCAGTAGGTTTGGGCTTTCAAATGCACTGTAGTTCATGCTCTGTCACTGTGCCTGAGGTTTTGGACACACGGAAATAAATGACCGATCAGATTTTTCTAGTGTGTTTTACTGATGTAGGCACTTGGTGGATGCTTTTTTGTTGACCTATAATGTCATAAGATCCTATTTGACACTTCCAAACAGTGTGTGCCTTTTCTTTATCCACCACATAGATCAGAGGTCATCAACCCCCGGTCCACAGCCCACTGCCGGTCCATTGTTTAAGCCCAACTGGGCCGCCAAGACAGACCTCTCGCCCCCCGCACTCACCCCCACAAAGGTTGTTTGTGCCTGTGTGCATGCTTGTGCGCCTGCACAAATGGCGGCGTGGTCTCACGGAACCCGGCTGGAAAGCTAGCAGCGCGGAGGGACCCAGCGGCTGAAGACACGTGGCCCCCCCACAGGGCTCTGTCTCCCACCGCGGGGTCCCTCCATGCTGCTGGCTTTCCACCCTGGCTGGAAAGCCAGCAGCACGGAGAGACCCCATGGCAGAAGGCAGGACCCCGGGGGGAGGTCTTTTGAATTTTTCCTGGGGTCTGTCAGCTGGGAGTGCAGGGCGATGGGGCAAGGCGAGGAGGGCTCCACGCAGCCCTGACAGCCTGCCCGTTCTCCCTTGCAAGCCCCCCAGCTCCCCCAAAAGGTCAGCATGTCACGCACGAGTGTGAGGGGTGTTCCACTCATGTGCACAATCTCGACACGCCCACCCGTGAGTGCGAGGGGTGCCCCTGCCCCCGAACCAGTCCGCGCATGGAGTCCATACCCCTCAACTGGTCCGTGGTCTGAGAAAGGTTGGGGAACACTGAATAATTTACATTGCATCTTCCATTTGGGCAAAGTTGACTAGGATTATCCTGTGAGACAAATACAGGACTGGCCATGCCTTGAAGAAAGAAGTGACCTGCTCCAATAAAAGTATGAGAGAAGGATAGATCAAGATTGGAAATAATCTCTAAATGGGCAGACTATCTCGTGCCAACACTGCTTGGAAGTGTAGATGATGTCATACAGTTATGGCCAAAAATATTGGCAGCCTTGCAATTCTGTCAGAAAATGAAACCCTTCTCCCCAAAAATTGTTGCAGTTGCAAATGTTTTGGTATTCACATGCTCATTTCTTTGGTTTGCGTTGGAACAACACAAAAAACAGGAGAGAAGTCAAATCTGATACAATCCCACACAGAAACCCAAAAATGCACTGGCCAAAATTATTGGCACCCTGTCTAAATTGTAAGAAATAATTGCTTTTGAAGTATGTGATGCTCCTTTAATTTGTATTTAGACACACCTGTCGTAAGTAAGAGGTGTGGGCAATATAATAATCACACTTGCAACCAGTGAAGATGGAGAAAAGTTGACTCGACCTTTGTGTTGTGTGTGACACTGAACGTGGAGAAAAGCATGAAATGTTAAGAGTTGTCTGTGGATTTGAGAGAAAAAATTGTGGAAAAATATCAACAATCTCAAGGCTACAAGTTCATTTCCAGAGATCTTAAAGTTCCTGTGTCCACTGTGTGCAATACCATGAAGAGGTTTACAGCCCATGGCACTGTAGCTAACCTCCCTGGACATGGACAGAAGAGCAAAATTACTGAAAAATTGCAAAGAAGGGTTGTTTGAATGATGGATATAGAACCCAGATTAATTCCCCAACAAATTCAAGCTGATCTGCATACACAGGGTACAACAGTGTCAGCTTGTACTACAGTATCATTCGCCATCTGAATGAAAAGGGATGTTATTGAAGGAGACCCAGGAGGACACCACTGCTGACACAAAGGCATTAAAAAGCAAGACTGGAGTATGGCAAAACTTACGTGACAAAACCACAATCCTTCTGGGAGAATGTACTGTGGACAGATGCGACAAAAATACAGCTTTTTGGTAACAGACATAATGGTACTGTTTACAGAAAAAAGAAATGAGGCATTCAAAGAAAAGAACACAGTCCCTACAGTCAAACATGGTGGAGGTTCAAAGATGTTTTTGGGTTGCTTTGCTACTTCTGGCACTGGATGCCTTGACTATGTGAATGGTATCATGAAATCTGATGATTACCAAAGAATTTTGGGATGTAACTCCACCAGAGGTCATGGGTCTTCCAGCAGGACATTGACCTGAAACACACTTCAAAAAGCACTCAGAAATGGTTACAAACAAAGTGCTGGGGAGTACTGAAATGACCAGCACTGAGTCCCAGTCTGAATCCCATAGAGCAGTGGTCTCCAACCTTGGGCCTCCAGATGTTCCTGGACTACAACTCCCAGAAGCCTTCACCACCACCTCTGCTGGCCAGGATTTCTGGGAGTTGAAGTCCAAGAACATCTGGAGGCCCAAGGTTGGGGACCACTGCCATAGAACACCTGTGGATATATCTCAAAACAGCAGTTGGGAGAAGACAAATCTGAAGGCCCTGGAGCAGTTTGCAAAAGAAGAGCGGTCCAAAATTCCAGTACAGAGATGGTTACAGGAAGTGATTGATTTCAGTTATTTTTTCCAAAGGGGGTTAAATTTAGATTAGGCATCCTTCAGTCTTGAGAGACAATGGTATCGTGCTCTGAATAGAGGACTTGGGACAGCAAAATGGGAGAGGCCATGATGCACCCCCTGCCTTCAGGCTGAACGCTCAGATGTCGAGGTTTCCCATCTGTTGAGGTCCATTCTGAAGGCCTTCAGATCCTGCTTGCAGATACTGTATCCTTGTATCGCAGCTGTGATCTCCAAATATTAAGTTAAGGGTGCCAATAATTTTGGCCAGTGCATTTTTGGGTTTCTGTGTGGGATTGTATCAGATTTGACTTCTCTGTTTTGTGTGTGTGTGTTGTTCCAATGCAAACCAAAGAAATGAACATGTGAGTACCAAAACATTTGCAGCTGCAACATTTTTTTGAGAGAAGGGTTTCATTTTCTGACGGAATTGCAAGGGTGCCAATATTTTTGGCCATGACTGTAAGTAAATTGAATTCTAAAATTCAAATTGCTTATGCATGCATTTCATCTACATTTTGTATTAATGCCATGCTCATCCTTAAACCATCAAAGCCTCAAACCAGCACTTGGTCATATGAACCCCACCTTCGCCCTTCTAAAAATTGTGAGGAATTCTTTCTTATTGAGCAAGTCCTCTTTCACCCTCTGATGGCCAGTTTTGAATAAAAATTAAAATTGGGGTGTGGGGTGTCTTCAGAACTTGGCAAAATTGACCCCCTCCTCAATCAATCTCTACAGGGCACAAGGGGGCATTCTGAGTTGGAGGTTTTTGTTTTTTGTTCTTTTTAGATAAAAATCTGATGTGTGCTGTGACTCATTGGTGCTGGAGGATGCAGTCTATGAGGGCTACATGTTGCCCACTCTGATCTAAATGTAGTTATAGAAGAGCTAGCCATGCTAGTTTGTGCAAGCATTATAGATAAAAACAAAATTTAAAAAAATAAAAGAAAAGAACAAATAAAAAGACAAAAATGTGGTGGCATCTTGTTATATTTTAATGAGAGGTTTCATGGACAAGTCCACTTCTTTAGACATAATAAGTAAGAAATACATGACAAATATTTATACGTAGTATAAAAATGCAGAAATCCTGGTTGTTGGAAAGAAAGTCAGTGGGTATTTAATAGTGCGGTGATAGCCTCTTTAATATATAGGTATATTCCATTGAAGCTAAATGAAGAGTTCATTTCACTATACCACTAGCTTCATCATGTTCTTCCCCAAATATCATCCCAGTCAAATATCTGAGAAATTTGTCCAGTAATAAGGAGATTTCACAAGCCTTAGTCCCTTAGCTCCTAGGCTTTAATCAATTTCATGCAATCTTTTGGTTTGCATTTTATAATACTGCCCATCCCAGAGAGTATATATTATGCTTCAGCTAATTCGGAGTGCAGTCAGGAAAGGCTAATGTGTCTTCCTGTCACCCCCAGCTCCTGTACCATACTCATGGTCAGGCAAATCAAAAAGGGGCAAGCGAGTGACTGCAGTAAACTGTTTGGGTGGTCTTAGTGAAGAAAAAGTATTACAAACAAAGGCTAAGCAAAGGAGATTCCGGTGTGATTTTATAAAAGATTTATAAAATTCTGCAGTATGGAGAAGCTTTTTTTCCTCTTTCCTATATTTTTTGAATTGTCAGTGGAATAAATTGTAGAACAGAGAAAGGACTACTTGTTCATGGCCTCTTATGAATCACACTCTGGGTGATCTGCACATGCGCAGAGCCTTGTTGGAACATTATAGAGCTTCTGTGGTCAGGAAAGACACATTAGTACAAGCTCCTCCCTCCTAGTATATATACCTTGGCGCCAAGGCTCTCCCTTCAGTTTCTCTTCACCCGCTGTGTTGAGAGACTCACTCATAGCTTCTGTGAGTCTTTTCTCTGAAAAAAAGAAAGGAAAAAACCCTTATTATTTTAACTTTATGTACTTATTTCTTTACCTTTTCCTATCAGCTTCAGCCTTTGGGCCCGCCCCCCCCCCCCGGTCTTCAGTTCATGGCCTCTTCAGGCCCATTTAAGTAACAATGAGATTGCCCTCCGACGGCCATGCTAAGTGCCTGTTTTGTTTTGAAGAGGCTCATCAGACCACTTTCAGTTTCCACTGTAAGAACTTCAGGCATGGGGTTCTACACAGTCGCCTTTCGAGGCTTAAGCTTCAATTTTGGGAACAATCCCTCCAACCAGGCAAACGGATGGCACAATCATTGTGCAAGTCTGTGCCGCAGGCTAGAGCCATGGACAAGGCCATTTCCAAAGTAGCAAAACATCTATCGGCCATCCCCTCCCTTTCTGGAGAACAAAGGGCCCCTTCAACATCAAGTTCGGCCTTATGTCTTGCCTCCCAGCCTCACAAGACCAAGCATTCGACATTGACGCCTCCAGTCACCAATCAGAAGGCGTTGACCAACCAACCTTTGGTGGCTGAACTTCATCCATCAAAAAAGGCCAAGTTCTTGGAGTCGAAGACTATTTCAGCACCGACTGCAACCACCTCCCGAATCTACCTTGTCTACGTTGAATCCCTCTCCGATAATGATGCTCCTCCGTCCATCCTCATCTTTCCCAGTCACCTGATTGGGACCAGTTCATCGACCGACTGGCTACTTTTCCACCTACCAGTCCTCCACAGTTCTCCAGATCCCCTAGTGGGTCCTCCAAGGCTGCTTCACCTGCTGCACAACATGACACCATGTTGTCATGGTGTTCCCCCTGTGGGCCTGTCACCTTGGCCACCAGTGCACAGACATAGGCACCAACCTTACCAGAATGTCCATTTGCCTTCCTGTGTGGACACCACTTACCATTGCCGTTGGTATCAACATTGGGAGGCCTTTTTCCCCAGTCAGTGCCCTACCGAGATGCCTGCCAATTACTATCAGCTGGCCGCTTTCCCTTCGCCTGTCTTAACTGATGCTGCATATTCATTGGCGTCTAAAAAGCCTTGGCAACCCAACAGATATTCTTGGCCCTGATTCTTGGCACCGACAAGCCATTACTTCCCTTTGCAGCTGGTCCTCAAACATTTGGCCCGCTCGGCATCACCACCGTCCATCTACTGCATAGCCATCCAGTGTGGTCCATCAGGGCCCTTACTAACTCGGCAGCCCCACTGACACCGACAGCAGGCTCCGCAAGCTCCATATCAAGCCCACTTCCACACCGATCTCATTGACGTCAAGGATCCTCAATACCAACCTCTTACCAAGCCTCCCACTCCCAGTATCTGGGTGAGCAGCTTTATGACACTAACGTCAATCAGCAGTCAATCAAATCACCTCACCGTGCTGATCCCTCCAACCACGGCTCAAGGCCACAAAGAGCACCATCAGTGCTCTTAACGCCACCTGATTGAGACCTGGCAAATCTGGACCCACTGTCTCTGGCTGAAGTCTTCCAGATTTATGCCCAGTTGATGGTTCGCATGGCTAAGTCTTTCGAGCTCCAGATTCATAGACCTGCTGCAGAACTCTCGGACCATCTTTATGATCCAATTTCTAAGGATACTGCCACACCAGTCCACATCTCTATGCTTCCTTCTCCTCTTAGCACAGCTAAACGTTCTTGGACAAAACCAGCCTCTATCAGGTTCATGATCCTGATACCATTTTTCTACAGAAGCAGCCTGCTCCTAATTCCATCTTTGGTGAGGCTTCTCAGTCTCACTCTCAACAAAATCTGATTCGACCTGACAAGGACAGTCGACACATAGACTCAATGGTCTGATGGCTCTATTCCTTGACTGCTTTTTTGATGCAAGTCGCTAACTATCATGGGGCTATAGGCACGTATCAGGCCACCTCTGTGGCCATCTCTGTTGCGCTTCACTGCTTCTCCTGGCTTATAGCAGCCTTGCAGAGGATGCCTGCACATGTATCGAAGACCTTCCCTTTGATGGCATTGACCTTTTCAGTGCTGAAACAGATGACATTCGTGAAAATGTACAAAGGAAGCGAACAGCTTCCAGCTGCTGGAGAATTTACCCTACATACCAAGAGCGCCCACAATGCACACAGTGGCGTCACCTCTACACCTCCTATCAAAGGTTTCAACAATAATCTTGGAGGCAAACAACCACTGTTCCTTACTACAAACAACAGTCTTTCCGCTTCAAGACCTGGCAACAAACTATAGTCAGACACTGCAACCACAAACCTAAGCATCAAGTTTGATATCACACTAGCCAAGATCTTGCTACCACCCCCCACCGGCCTCTGCCCACTCTCTGGCAACACTTACCTGCATGGAGGAACATCACCACAAATCTGTGGGTCCTCTCCATCATAGAGTGGGGGTACCACATACAATTCCGCCAGCTTCTTCCACTATCTCACACTATCACGCCTCTGTCACTAACCCTACAGGATGAAATGCAATCCTTATTACTCAAGGACGCCATAGAACCAGTGCCACTACACCATGCAGTCACAATTTTTTTTCTCTTGCTATTTCACCATTCCCAAAAAGGATGGAGACTTCCATCGAATTCCAATGTAGATTTACCTCAGGGAAGTAAATCCTACATTACCACTACCAAATTTTGCATGGTTACCTTCAAGTCCATTCTTCTGCTAATCCAAAAAAAGAGACTGGTTCATGGTCATCAATTTATGAGGCCCCTACTTCCATATTTTCATCAATCCAGCTAACAGGCCTTACTTTCATTTCCAGCTAGGGGCTCAGGCCTATCAATTCAAAAGGTTACAATTCAGGCTGGCCACAGTAGCCCGGATATTCACCAAATGCATGGCCACTGTAGCAGCATACCTCAAGTTGCAGGGTGTTCAAGTCTTCCCATACATCAATGACTGGCTTTTCGCGGCTTGCTCTTGCTGCAAATTCTAGTGCGGTGTCCATTTCACTCGCCTTCAAGATCTCAGCCTTGCAGTAAACTTACAAAAATCTACCCCAGTACCTGTCAGATGTATCCATTATATTGGAGCCTGCCTGGACTCTGATGAGGCCCGAGCATTTCTTCCACATGACAAATGTCTTAAATTAATCTTTCAGCTCAGTACCTTCACCCCTCGTGTACTTGACGGTACAGTGTGTCCTGGGTATGATGGCCTCAGTTACCTCCGTTGTTCACCACACCCGCCTGAAGATGAGATCCCTTCAGTCATGGTTTCTAGCGCTGTTCAACCCACTCTCTGACCCACCACATACTCTCTTATGTGTCACTCTAGAACCTACTACCCAACTCTCATGGTGATCCTCCAAACAAAACCTGACAATGGGACAGCCCTTCCAGCAGCCCCATCCATGGATACAAGTCACTGCAGACGCAAGCCTTACAGGCTGGAGAGCTCACTGCAGATCCCTCCAAATCCATGCCCAGTGGTTACTGAGGGAAAGAAGGGTTCACATCAATGAGCTAGAGCTACTAGCCATCTGCAGAGCCTTCAGAAACTATCTCTGTGGCAATACCACAGCAATGTATTATATGCTCAAGCAGGGTGGTACTCACTCACCAAGCCTCCTATAGCTCGCTATGGACCTATGGGAGTGGTGCCTTTCTCACCACATATGCCTCACGGTAGTCCACATAGCCAGCCAAGATCTACTCAGCTGCACGGAACACCAAGCTCACGAGTGGGAGCTAGACCAAACAGTTTTCTGGTCCCTCTGCTCTCATTGGGGGATGCCCATAATCAACCTATTTGCATCCAGAACAAACCAAAAATGCAGACGCTATTGTTCCCACACAGGAGTCCGCAAGAACTCCCTCGGCAATACCTTAATCAGACATAAGCCCAAAATACTGACCTACCTCTTTCTGCTGTTCCCACTCCTCCACAGGGTAGTTGTCTGTCTCCATCAGGACAGAGCCAGTGCCATTCTAGTAGTCCCATGATGACCACAACAGCCTTGGTTTCTGACTCTCTGCCAGCTGTCTTCCCTGTCTCTCTCATCTTCTCACGTAAAACAGGGCTCAGATCTTCCACCCAGATCTCCCAGCACTTCATCTCACAGCATGGAAGATTCTGCCTCCTTTATGAATGTCCTCCATCATGCAAGAAAGCCCTTGACCAGGCGAGCCTACATGTATAAATGGAAAAAGTTTCAACCTTTCACTTCCTCAATAGCCCAGTCACCAACTAACCCCTCCCTCTGGACAGTTCCATGTTTTGTTCTAACACCTTAAGCACACAGGACTTTCTATGTCATTGCTCAAGGTATACCTCTCTGTTATTGTTGTGCACCAAGCACCAGCCTCTAAATTCTTTAAACATCCTACCCACAAGCATTTTTAAAGGGTTAACATATATCTACCCTGATGTGTGCTCTCTTCCACCTTAGTGGTCATTGACACTAGTCCTCTGACACACAGGCCCCTTTCAAGCCCCTCCCATTGGTCGACCTGCATCTCCTAACCTTTAGAATTGCATTCCTCATGATGATCACATCCACATGACGCGCCAGTGAGCTTGCAGCTCTACGGTCTGACTACCCATATCTTCAGTTCCACCCTGACACGGTCTGGCTTTTTGTAGATACTTTGTTCCTTCCCAAGGTTGTCTCCCAGTTTCACCTTTCTCAACCCTTGGTCCTTCTGTCCTTCTTACCATCTCCGTCTGCTCCTCAGGAACATATCCTTCACACTCCGGATGTCAGACGGACTCTGACTCTTTATGTAGCCCACATGCAGCCATTTCGGTGGTTCTCCTAGACTATTTTATCAGCTACCAGCCCTCGTCAAAAGGCCTCCAAGTCACCTTCCAACGTATGTCCAAGTGGGTCGCCTACCAGCTCGCACGTATTTTGGTGCCACAACCCCTCTACCCACACTCCACCAGGGCATTGGCAGCATCCACAACTTTCCTCCAAGGGATTCCACTGCAGGAGGTTTGCGCATCCGCCACTTGGTTGCAGCCTTCTACCTTTATCAGTCTCTATTGGCTAGATGTTCACCAGACGTTCAATTCCTCTTTTGGTTGTGCTGCCCATTTTTCTACCTCGGCGTGATACCCTCCTCCGCGTAAGCCAGCTTTTTAGTCACCCAGGGTATGATTCACAGTGACCACGAAGAAGGAGGACAGGTTACCTACCTGTAATTGTAGTTCTTCGAGTGGTCCTCTGAGATTCATACATCCACCCAACCTCCCCACTGTCACACTCTCACTTGCAGCGGCGGTTGACTTAACTGAAGGGAGAGCCTTGGCACCAGGGAACGTATAGTAAGGGGGAGAGGCTTGTACTAATGTGTCTTTTCTGATCGCAGAAGCTCTAGAATGTTCCAACAAGGCTCCGTGTGAATCACAAAGGACCACTAGAAGAACTACAGTTACAGGTGGGTAACTTCCCTTCTCCACACAGCACATAATTAACGCAAGATGGAACTGTAAAAGAAATATGACTGTGAAGGTAGAGTGGACAGATATGAAAAGACGTGACATTTGATTTATGGTTGAACTGCAGTACTCAACCAGCTACAGCAACATAGCCAGTTGATATGGTGGATAGCAGTTCTTCAATATGTATGCCCCAAAGAATTTCCAAGTGTGGAAGTAGTGTGCCACTGAATAACTGTTGGTGGGGGGAGGCCACTGTGTGAATGAAGCACTGCTGCCCTTGTGCCCAGTTATTGGGTTTCCTGAAAACATCTATCAATTTTGTCAGATAGAATGATAGATCAGAAATTTGGCCTACAGTTCCTATCAGCCTCACACAAGTTTTGGCCTGTAATTTTCATCAGCCCCACTCAGCAGAAAGGGATTATGGGAGCTGCAATCAAAAATATCTAGATGGCTAAGGATTCCCCTCACTTGTGCTAGATTAATGTTTGGCTTGAATGTATAAGGCTGTACATAGGTTCAGACGTCCTGTTACCTGTTACATCTGGAGCTTTACTTGTAGGAATTGTCTCATTGGAGCTTTTTTCTACTTTGGAGAGTAAAGAAAGATGTGATAGAGGCCAAACTGTTCCTAGATATGTCTGCTAGTGATACTGAAAATAATGCTGCTTTCACAGCATCCAAGTGACTTGTTTTTGTAATGAGATGCTATTTTTCACTCAAGATTTTTAGTAACCCATTCCTTCTGATACACAGTACTGATTGTTCTGACCAGTCTGTAGCATTGCTAGTTTATACATATTAAAATTGCTGCATTTAGCTCAAATGGGAAGCACTCCATCCTCAGGTTATCATATTCTGGTGACAGCTTTCTAAATGGTTGTTGTGGGTTTTGGCTGTGTCCTTAAGGTTTTTCTTCCTAATATTTCGCCAGTCTCCAGGGCCAGGATCTTCAGAGGACAGGAGCCAGAACTCTGTTTTCTGGTGCAGTTTGTTGGATAGTTGAGTATTTTTCAAGCTTTCTATTTGCCTATAGAACAACTGTGTCGCCAAAGACAGGCAGCCTCTTGTGCAAACCCAATAAGGGTTCTGACAGGAAAGGAGAAATGATATGACATCTTTTACTGGTAATCTGAACATCTGTAGCATATTCTCAAGTTGTTGTTTAAAGGTTGTGTGTGCAAATAGCACAGATAAGGTGTTGCATTGTAGTTTGTACATACTACCATTTACATGCTATCTCTTGCTTTCTGAGTCAGCACTGTACTGTCTTAAAAAATGTACACGTGTGGTGTTGATACAAACAGTAAATTTGTGGGCACATAGGCAGTTCTTGGATTCTGGAAGGTCTTTCAAAATTTTGTTACTGATAGGCACTGTTTGCATTTTCAAGTTCTCTGTATAGAAGGAATCTATTCCATCACAAAGGGAGTGATTAATGGATTAAATCACTTGGACAAAAGAGAAATCTTCAGGTGATTACAGCCAGAAAGGGAAGGACAAAGACTAGTCTAAAGGACCTGACAATAGTTACCTGATTCCTCATCAGCTTGAGATTTATTGGTAAGGTCATTAAACAGAAGATAGTGTCTGAATGCAAATACAGTACCTCATGATCATGAAGTTCCATAAAAAACCGAAGTGTCAAATGTCGCCCAGACTTTATTGATAAAGGTATGAAGATTGCATTCTCAGACTTGTGAAAAATCAGGTGAAGTTTTTTGCATGTACATCTTTTTATATCCTTTCTGTGAAATACTGAATAAAAATTGACAGAGAAGAAAACAATCCACTGAAGCACTGTCAAATTTGGAAATCAAAGCACGGAGTTTTCCCATTACTTCTGTGAAATGACCATGTTTAGCATGATACTACTTGCCTTAGTGTTTTCAAGATAGGGTATTGTGCAGGAAGAGATTAGAAAAACTACTCTTTCCCTACAGATTAGAGATGAGCACAAACCTCATGCCCATCTCTGCTACAGATTAATTGGGAATCATAGCACCAATGACTGTGTTTCTGCTAGAAACGCATGCTGTCTCTGAATTCTGTTAGCTTCTGCTTTCCTTATGTGTTACCTGATTTGTTTGTCATTGTTGCTTTAATAAGAGCATAAAAATATTTATCTTCCTCGATATGCTTTATAGGCATCTTTAAGCATGTGACCTGTAATTCTCAGGGTATCTGTGGGTTTTCCTTGGCAAGGCGAAGTTAAGGAGATACCTTTGATCTTTCAAATGTTATGGAATTCAACTCCCAGAAGCCACCATGGTCAAGGGTAAGAGATTTTGGGAGTTGTAGTCCACAACACTTAGAGGACTGAAGTCTCCTGACCCCAGCTATCAAAATGCAGTAGAGTTATCTGGTGAGTAATCCTGTCTAGGATTGCACTGTGACATATTGTAGTGGGAACTTGATCACAGAAAATTGGAATACATAGGAGGCCCTTCTGCTGCATACCCAGGTGTTTCTTTTGGGTCCAACCTAGAATGTGTAGATATATTTTAGAATGTTTAAATTTAAAGTTACAGACAAATCAATTATCTTAATTCTGTTATTTCCCCTCCACCCCACCCCACAGGTATTGCCTTTACAGACCTCCCTGTAAGTACAACTGTTTTTAATATTTTAACAAAAATTACAAGATGAAGGGGAGGGGTGAGGGAAATGACTTGGGGTGTACTGATGCCAACTCTTTGCCATGCCATCTGGAAGTGGTTAGTATTAGACTGTTTGATGTCCTCCCTTTTTAGTGAAGCCTAGCAGGTTCCTTAGAGAAACCATTTCAAAAAGGATGGTGGTAATGAAGAGGCTTTTCCTAGAATTTCCTGAGAGCCCATGGAAAAACTAAATTGTTAATGTGTCAACTAAAAATATTAGAAGGTCTTTTGTAACTTAATACTTTTGCCAGGAATATGGCCTACTAATACAAATAAACAAAACAAGTTTGTATCCTTAAATAGAAAAAAAAACTATGTTCTTGCCTTGCCTGTCATGAGCAAAGTAAAAATAACTTGCTACTGAATTGTTAAGCAGCATAACTTCAATAGGGAAACAAATGGGCATTCCCTGTTTCTGAAGTTGACTTCTGCAATGTAAGTTATTTCTGCAGTCCAGACATTTCATTGCTTCTCTTGGCACATAGATTGGAATGGAAATATTGCAAATGACCTTTAGTGGGCATGGGACTTTAAAAAAAAATCCTACTCAACAGCGCAGCACTTGCCTTTTCCTCAAATGTATATAGGCATGTATTAGAAAATCTTTTGAGGCTTCAGATCAATGGAGAAATTTCACTTATGTCTCAACAAATTACTCAAACACATTCTGTTACCTTCACTGCGAGAAGAGCACCTTTTGTCATGATCTGTTACATGTCTCTTGTCTGATTTGATGAAAACGGAAACTTTTCATCTTATGTAACTCACATTGTCCTGTATGTACAGTGGTGCCTCACTTAGCGATGTTAATCCGTTCTAGGAAAAACGTTGCTAAGCGATTTTAAAAAGCCCATAGAAACACATTAAAACGTATTTAATGCTTTCCTATGGGCTTAAAAACTGACCTTATGTGAAGATCCTCCATAGGGGCGGCCATTTTCGGTGCCTCTAAAGCGAGGCAAAACAGTAGGCGGCCATTTTGTTTTTCCGGCAGCCATTTTGGAACCGCCGATCAGCTGTGCAAAAAGGGTCGTTTTGCCATGATCGGTTCCCCGCGATCATCGCAAAGCAATTTTTCCCCATAGGGGCCATCGCTAAGCGATCGCTCTGGCGATGGCCAAAACCCCATCGCTAAGCAATTTCATCGCTCAACAGAGCAATCGCTAAGCGAGGCACCACTGTACTTAATTCTTCTCCTTTACTCCATAACTATTGTTGTCACAAAAGATTCAGATTGTAGCTAATTGTTTCCTTGCAAAATTATTCTCAGTAATGTTCTCAGCACAGCCCATCTCTTCAGTCTAGAGTAGAGCTTTCATTCAACCCTTCTTTACTAAGAACTTCTCTCCTGCTCTGAAAGTGTTTGTTCCTTGTTGCTTCCTTCCCTAAAGAGCCTGGGGCTTTAACTTGGGTCTTTTTTCTTGGCAGGCCAATCTGTATCCCACTGTGGGGCTCCAGACACCTGGAGAAATAGTGGATGCCAATTTTGGGCAGCAGCCATTTGTGTTTGACATTGAAGATTATATGAGAGAGTGGCGAGCAAAGATTCAAGGCACAATTAAGAGGTTTCCCATAGGTGACCGGCTAGGTGAATGGCAAGCCATGCTGCAGAAGTGAGTGGGTGCTTTGATTTAATTTGAGTTAAAGCTTGAATTTAAAACAGCAGTTGCTCTGCAATGCTCTATAGTCAAAGTACATTCCACATATCTTCCTTGAAGTTTATCACTTGTGTTCCTAATGTGCAGTCTGGTGTTGGAGGGGTTCCTTAACGGAAATGAATAAGAAACTAGCTGCATGCTTATGCTGCACCTTTTATTCTATTGGCAAAAGGTCCTGTTGCTTAGGATAGTAAATTGCATTAGAGTAGGCTCATTGAATCAATGGGACTTGATTCAAATGGGCTGACTCTAATTGCAATTTGCTAAATTAAAATGATTTATAGTTAGAGTAGTAGATTTAAATCATTGGAACTTATGGATGATTGGACTCACTAAAACCTCATTAATTTAATGGGCCTTCTTCTAGTGCAATTTACTGTGCCAAGCAACAGCATTTTGGCTATTGTGTTCTTTCTTTAAACTATGTAAGTCTCATATTCTAAGTGATGAGAAGATGCTTTCAGCAATGTATTTGACTTGATCAATTCTTAGCCCCTCAGGGAATAAGTTAAAATGAACAAATGAGGAAACCAGATGTTAAGGGGAGGATGGTGGGTAGAATAATGTTGAGAACTTTTTATCTGCGTCTCTAAGGGATAAGAGAAAATGAGGCATTAAATGCATGTACATATAGAGGCAAAGTGAGAGAGAGCTCCTGAACAGAATAGTTAGAAGGGTTAAAAAATATGAATATTTCTCCTTTTTATGAAAGAAAATTTAGATAAGGCTTAACAAAACTATTAAGCACCCTACTTTAATATACACTTTCTATGAAATCTATTGATTTGGGCGTTTTTAAAGTTATATATTTCAGTGGTTCTTGTACTGCATTTCAATTATATTGTTAGAGTAGTTTGTAGCAGTAATTAATCTAATATTTTGTTTGGCTTTCAAAGAGGGTTAGACAGACTTACACAACAGTTTCAGGCCTCAGTGAAATCAGCAAGTGGATTTCATGGCTTACTACAGGTCTCGGCACTTGGCCCAGCACCATTTGCAATTTGCTTATATTAGTATAATTCTCTTTTGGACATTCCTATGCAGACCTCTTGATCTTTTGTCCCTATGTATGTAGGAGCCAGATAAATTTCCTTTCTCATAATGAATATTTATTTTTCCTCAACTACAGTGGTGCCCTGCATAGCGACGATGATCCGTTCTTAAAAAATCGTCGCTAACGGATTCGTTGCTATGCGGGGCAAAAAAGCCCATAGGAACGCATTAAAACGTGTTTAATGCATTCCTATGGGCTTAAAAACTGACCTTAAGCGAAGATCCTCCATAGGGGCGGCCATTTTCGGTGCCTCTAAAGCGAGGCAAAACAGCTGGCGGCCATTTTGGAACCGCCGATCAGCTGTGTGAAAATGGGGGCGTTGCAATGATCGCTGAAGCGCTTCCCCCCCATCATCCCGAAGCCCCACCGATCAGCTGTGAGAAAATGGGGCATTTGTGATTATCGCTTCCCCGCGATCATCGCAAAGCGATTTTTCCCCATAGGGAACATCGCAATGTGATCGCAAAAGCGATTGCAAAATCTTAATCGCTATGCGGATTCATCGTTAAATGGGGCGCCCGTTAAGCGAGGCACCACTGTACTTGACTTCTCACACTTGAAAGGAGTCAGTTTAAGGAGAGAACAAGCATGACAGTCTTTTACTTCTTAATGACTGAATTCCTGTGCTTTCAGTTGTTTGACTGTCACAGGAATGCTGCCTGTCATTCTCTTTTCAAAATACTTTTGTTCACTGAAGATCGTATGTGTTATATTTTAAGTGTGCCAAGCAGAGCTAAGAACAATTCTAGGATACACCCAACTGACCTTACATTAATATGATCCTCTCAGATATCTTGTTTCAGAGAGGGTCAGACCGACTTGCATAACAGATTTCCTGTGGATCCCAACTGATACCCACTCATCTATTCACCTTCTGTATTTTCCCAGTATGGTCTCTTCTTATCTGGTGCATCATGGCTACTGTGCTACAGCAACTTCCTTTGCCAGGGTGACGGAGAGTACAATTGAGGAAGAACAGATCTCCATAAAAAATAGACAAAGTAAGCTTGTTCTCATAGTTTCTGCTGTTTTCTGTGAAGTCTTCTGCAAACAACCCATTTGCTTTGCAGTATGATTCCCGTTCATTGTCTGCACACTCATATACCATGTGTAAGTTAACAGTGGTGAGGAGGCAGAACCTCAGTGCACTGCACTGATCTTTCTATTTGTCCTTGTCCCTTTCTTTTCCTATCCCCCAGAGTCTCATCATACCTTCCTTCATTCTGCCACTCACAATGTAAATTCTGTAATCATTTAAGGACTTGGCTGGTTTATTTTTAGGAAATCAGTGCTGCCTCTGATGTCTTCATGTGGGATTTCTAACACTAGACAACCAGTGTTTCATCTAAACTCCCCACGCGCAGCTCTGGATCAGGGCTGCACAGCTGAACCAGTGTTGCCACCCGTTTGCTTCCAGTTGTGGCCAGAAGCCTGTGTGCACAGAGCAGGGAGCCTTCCCAATGTCTGGAAAACTAGAGGGAATGTTGCAGAGAACCCGATGTGTGCAATGCCATAAGCTGGTACAAACTTTTGCAGCTAGACTAGAGACTGAGGCTAGCTATAGGGAGCACATAACACCCCTGCTGCAACAACTGCATTGGCTACCAGTCCCTTTCTGGGCCTATTTCAAAGTGCTGGTCATTACCTACAAAGCCCTATACAGCTTTGGTCCAGGCTATCTGAAGGACTATCTCCTCATCTGAGCCTTCTTGGTGTTTAAGGTAACCAGAGAGGGTCCTCCTATCAGTTTCATGGCCTGTGCAGAGAGGGCCTTCTCTGTGGCAGCTCTCAGATTATGGAATGCTCTCCCTCAGGAGATCAGGCTAGCCCCCTTCCATTTATCCTTCTGCCAACAGGTGAAGACATCTCTTCAAGTCATGAATGTCTTCTTAGAGTCAGTTTGTTTTTAATGTTCACTTGCTTTTAATTATTCAATTGTACTTTCATTAACATGTAGTTAATTTTTTAAAATATTTAGCATGTTTTTAACTCTACAGTGGTGCCTCAATTTACAACCATAATCCATTCCAGAAGATGGAAGTAACTCGAAATGGTCATAAGTCAAAGCACCATTTCCCATAGGAATGCATTGAAATGCAATTAATCCATTCTGGCCTAAGAAAAAATCACACACACCCAAAAAATCACTACAAGAATAATTAGAAATGTGATTAATCCCTTCTGGCCGAAGGGGGGGGGAAGAAAAACAATCAACCGTGCAAGACCCATTGGAAATGTACAGAAAACAAACGGAGCAGATCGGAAATGCACAGAGAACAAAGGAAAATGCAAGGGAAGCATACAGGACCCATTGGAAAAGGGGAAAAAATCCAAAAGCACAAAAAATCCCAAGACCCATTGGAAATGTGGGGGAAAAGCCAAAAAACAAACAACCCCCCCAAGACACATCGGAAATAGGGGGGAACCAAACACAAACCCCCCAAGGCCCATTGAAAATGGGGGGAAACCCAAAAGCAACCGAACCCCCCCAAGACCCATCAGAAATGGGGGGGATGAAAAACAAATAAACGCCCCAAGATCCATCGTAAATTGGAAAAAACATTCCAAAAAGCAACAAAAACCCCCAAGACCCATCGGAAATGGGGAAGAAAAAAAACCAACAAACCCCCAAGACCCATCACAGCACAGAAACATAACCTCCCCTCAGCTCAAAACCACGCTGCAAAAACACCCAGAACAGTTTTTAAAAAGCAGAAAACAGCACCTTACCTTACCAGGCAACCCAAAGCCTCCCTGCAAACACACACACAGGCTCACTCAGAAGCAGAAGCGAGGCAGTCCCAAGCCGCCTCCGATATATACTAACTGCTGGGGCGACAGAGCTACAAAGAAACAGCCTCGTCACCACCTACAGTTAGAAATTTGAATTTCCCGCCTTTTCCCCCTGCCTTTTTCTGTTTATAAGTGGAAGCTCCGGTCACAAGTAGAAACAAAATTTTGCAGCTGGAGCTGGTCGTAACTTGAAATAGTCGTAAGTAGGGACGTTCGTAAGTCGAGGCACTACTGTATTCTTTTTAATATTGTGAGCTGCCTTGGGTCCCCTTGCTGACAGTAAGACAGCATATAAATCAAACAAACAGTGCCATTTCATCTTACCCAAGTTACTGACACTTACTGACTATACTGGTGGACCATGATATTGAGAAAAAATTACTGATTTACAAGCAATCAATATATTTTTCTTTGTTGTCTCTGTGGTCTCTGTGAATGCATACTACTGTGATGGGTTTTAGTGCGCTTGCGCAGAGAACCTTGGAATCTTTTAGAGCTTAAACACATGTTGTTGGGACCTCCCTCCTGTCGCGCTTGGCCCCACCCACAGCACAGTGTGTCTCAGTTCCTTTTTTGCCGTCGCTGCAGCAGCTCCTCTGCTTCAGAGCTTTTTGTTTCCTGTGGGGAAAAAATTTACCTTGTTGATCTTCTTTTAATCTGCTTCCTGATTGGGACCTTCCTCATTCTGATCTCTCCTGAGTAGAAAAAGAAGAAGAAGAAAGAGTTAGGAAAAAATACCAATAGTTTTCCTGCCCTTTTTCCTTTGGGCCTACTGTTTTATGGCCTCTTCAGGCCCTTTCAAGAGATGCGAGTCCTGTCCAAATAAATTAACACTGTCAGACAGGCATTCCAGGTGTCTCTTTTGTCTGGGGGAGGCACATCAAACCTATGTGTCGGGCCTGCAAAAACTTACCAAGCCAGCTCTTAAACTTAGGCTCCAATGTCTGCAGTCCTTTCTAAGGAGAAATCCCTTCAACCACCTCACAGTTGCAGTATGGATGGTCCCCAGACCACTGCAGATCCGTCCCCAAACTCTTAGATCTGTTCTCCAACCATTAGATCTCAGCCTGCTAAGAGACCTAAGACGGCTTCGAAATCACACCCATCGACATTGAAGCCTGCCTCAACTTGTTCTTCAGTATCGACACTGAAGTTCACTTCGATACAGACACCAAATAAAAAGAAGAAAACATCTACAGTGGTGCCTCGCAAGACGATTTTAATTCATTCCGCGAAAATTGCTGTCTTGCGAAAAAATCTTGCGAAACGTGATTCCCCATTGGAATGCATTGAAATCTATTTAATGCGTTCCAGTGGGGGGAAATCGTCATCTTGCAGAAAAAAAGTCTTGCAAAACGTGGTTTCCCATAGAAATGCATTGCGATCTAATCAGTGCGTTCCTAAGGGCATGAAAAGTCAGAACAAAGTCAAATTTGGTTTACAAAGGGTTTATTAAGTGCTCTTTAATGTCATAAATAATGTGCAGGTGATTTCAAAAATTTCAGTCAATAAACTTTAACTTTATAAATATCATTGAAAAACATTTAAAAATCAACAAACATGAGGCAGGAACATCTGCCTTCATTGAAACTGAACAGAAACAGTCACTAACAGTCATTGGATTGTGCAAAACTCTTCAGAAAGTGCATAAACATACAGAAACCAACAGTACAGAAACTTCTTACGTTTCACATTTTAAAGTGAACAAGTGAGGAACTAAACCACCAGGACCAGTGTTTTAATTGAGGAAACTGGAGGCACACAAAACTGTCCCAACATCACAGCAGCAGTCTTCTAGGAAGAGGAGGAGGAGGAAGGCAACTGCACATCACTGGTTGAAGCAGCAGGTTCCTCTTCCTGTTTCGGCCTCTTTGTGAGGAACCTCTCCATATCCAGCTGCTTCTGCCGCCTTTTCGGCATCCCTCTGAAAGGGGATATGACCCTTGCGTCAAATGTGTTCACAAGGTGATGTGCCACAGACTTGTCCGGGTGGTATTGCTGTGCTACAGTCTGCACATGTCGGCAGTGTTCTAAGAAATCTTTCAGTTTACTGGTGGACAGCTGTTCCTCGCCTGGCTCTTCATCTCCAAAAGAGGCCTGCTCCTCCGTAGCCTCTGCCTGAAGCTCGACCAGCTCCTGGGTGGACAGCTCCTGATTGTGGCCCTCCACCAGTTCACAGATGTCCTCCTCTGTGACCTCAAGGCCCATGGTCCTCCCCAAGGCAACAATGTCCTCCATCACTGTTGACTCTGGTACAGGCGCAGAAACATCAGAGTCACTTGTTGCCACACAGTCTGGCCACAGGTTGCGCCAAGCAGAATTGAGATTTCTCCAGCTGATCCCATCGCAGGCTATGGTGATCAACTTCAAGCAGCTGACAATGTCAGTGGTCCCTCCAGAATTCACACAGGGTGAGGTTGGTGGAATTGGTCACCTCGAAGCAGCGCCTGAAAAGTTCCTTGGTGTACCTTTTCTTGAAGTTGGCAATCACCTGCTGATCCATTGGCTGGAGTACCTGGGTAGTGTTAGGCGACAGGAACAAGATTTTAATGAAATTGAATTCCTCCAACAAATCTTCCTCAAGGCCTGGAGGATGAGCTGGGGCATTATCCATGAGGAGCAGGGCCTTCAGTGGCAGGTCATTATCCAGCAGATACTTCTTGATAGCTGGGCCAAAAGCAAGATTGACCCAGTGCACAAACAGGACACGTGTGACTCAAGCCTTAGTGTTGGATCGCCACATCATGCTCAGCTGGCCTTTGTTCACCTTGTGCTTCCTGAAAGCCCATGGATTCTCCGAGTGGTATACCAGCAAAGACTTTATCTTCAGGTCCCCACTGGCGTTGGCGCAGAAGAGGAGGGTCAGACGGTCCTTCATGGGCTTGTGGCCAGGCAGCTTGCTTTCCTCTTGAGTGAGGAAGGTCCTTTTGGGCATCCTCTTCCAAAACAGCCCGGTCTCGTCACAGTTGAAGACCTGCTGTGGAACGTAGCCCTGTGTTGTCATGACCCCCAGGAACTCCGTGGCAAAGTCCTTAGCCGCAGGAACATCGGAACTGGCATCCTTTCCATGCCTGACCACACTGTGGATTCCAGATCTGGTTTTGAAGCATTCAAACCAGCCTCTGCTTGCCTTGAAGACTTCTGGCTCAGCTGAGGTTCCTGGCTGTTGCTGCACGAGGTCTGTGTACAAGGCCTTGGCCTTCTTGCAGATGACCGCCTCAGTCATTGTGTCCCCTGAACGCTGCTTCTCTTGCATCCAGATAAGCAGCAACTTCTCCACCTCCTCCAGAACAGCTGGCCGGTTCTTCACGATCCTGGTGACTCCCTTGGCTACATCTGTGGCAAGGATCTTCTGCCTTCACGATGGATTCCTCCCGTACTCCCTGGTGATGTCCGCAATTCGTGTGCCACCGTCGTACTTCCTGATGGTCTCCTTTTTCATCTCAGGGGTAATCTTCTCCTTCGTCATCTTCCTGGCATCTGCAGAAGCAGGCTTCTTGGGACCCATGTCAGCAGCTGCTACATTCACAAAAACAAAAGGCAGTGCTTTACATCCGCTTCCCACACACCTTCCCACACATCTTCCCACCCCTGGCCAAAACTGCCCTGGACAAACAAGTGGCATATCACACACACCCCAGCACAAGCTAAGCCCCCTAACTTTCCAGTGCAACTTAACAAAAAATAAAAATAAAAATCAAACCCCACCAACACAGAAGAACAAATGAACACCTACCTTTTGCTGGCCAAAAAGTTCCGCAAATATCCAACTTCTCCAAAGAGCACACCAACTTCTCCAGACACAGGATGCCTCCACAACACAGACCACAGCAAACACAGGATGCCCCACAATGCAGACCACAGTTGTTTCTCACAAAGTCAACCTTGGAACTGCACGTGGAAAAGTGAACCCAGGCTGCATTGGGGAGGCTTTTTAAACCTTCCCGGCACAATGCACAATGCATCCTAAGTATTAACGGTTGAGATTTGAACCAAAACAACAACAACAAAACCCTGTAGACATTCGTCTTGCGAAAAACCGTCCATTAAAAAAAAATTTATCTTGCGAGTCATGGACCCAACTGTCAAAAAACATCATCTTGCGAAGCATCAGTCTAAAAAATAATCATTTTGTGAAGCATAGACCCAAACATTGTCTTGCGAAAATTGTCCATAGGAAAAACCATCTTGTGAAGCGCAACAGCAATCACAAAAACTAATCGTCTTGTGAGCAATCATATTGCGAGCCACCACTGTACTTCACATAAGGCTAAGCAGCCTACATATAAATCAACACCCATCAGTTGCATCGACAGATCAGCCACAAAGAGAGGTGGTATGCCTTGATCTTCTTTCTAGGGATGAGGATGCCCCTCCTCTTTGGCCCTCCCCACAGTTCAGTCACTCTCCTGACTGGGGGAATACCTAGGCTGAGGTTACTGTTACTGCTGTGGCACAGGCAAGCCTATATTCTCAGGCTGGCTCGATATCAGGCCGTTCTTCAGTATCGGTCCCGAAATCAGTGCAGGAGGAACGTTCTAGAAGGAGAAGAAGGAAGACCCATCATACTGAACCTCCTGAGGATATTGGAGATTGCTGATACTGTACTACACATCGCATGGCTGTTGTCTGAGAGCCACAATATGACCACCCCACTTACTGTCAGCTGGAGCCTGAATTCTACGAGCCCGAGCTCTATTACAGCTAGAGACCTTATGAGATGGTCCCTCAATACCAACAGGACCATTATTCCCAGGTTTACCGTTCAGAGTCACCTTCTCTTTCACTGTCTCCTCAATATCGGACACAAGCTGAGCCGCCCCAGTATCATTCTTCTGAGGATGAATGGCACGTTGTTCAACCAGCTTCATCTTGGCATCATAGAAGACTGCTACCACCTAATCCAGAGGATTATTGCCTGGAAGCGAAGCATCCATACCATATACCATCAGCATCAACCCGGCCATCATGGTCTCAGGGCCCCCCAGAGGTTCAATCCTTGCCTTTGCAAGTCACTACGACATACCGAAGACCTCCACTGGTACCAGTTGTTCAGCAGTCTCCTCACAAGTCAAAGAACTCAAGAGGTACGCAAAAGAAAACCATTAACCACCCCTCAGCATCGAGACAGGAGCTCTTTCCACCTTTAGACTATGTGCCTGTCTCTCTTGATATCGACTGAAAATTCTGATTTTGAGATTCTCCACATAACATTCCCACACATAACATTCTCTGACATTGCAGAAAACCATCCTCCTTATCCACAATTCGTCTGGCATATGAACTTGCCCTGACACCTTTACCACATGCTGTAAGGGCTCATTCTGCCAGAGCTATAGGCACATCCATGGCATGGGGTTGAAAAGACGGACATTTGCAAAGTGGCCACCTGGGTTACGCCATCCACCTTTGCAACCCACTATTGTCTGGATGTCCATGCCAAGGCTGATAACACATTTAGTCACGCTGTTCTATCCTCTGCTTTATCGTGACGTCCCACCTCCTGGTAAGTCAGCTTACTAGCCACCCATTAGTGTGCATTCACAGAGACCACAAAGAAGAAAGAGAGGTTATTTATCTGTAACTATGGTTCTCTGAATGGTCATCTGTAAATTCACACTTCCCGCCCTTCCTCCCCTCTGTCACGTATGCTTTTTGCTTGCTGGGCAGTGGCGGACTTTTCTTCGGCCCACTCCCTGCTGTGGGTGGGGCTCTTTATTTCAAAGAACATCTCAACTAATAGAAAGGCAATTAACGGAAGAATTACAATATGTACTTGGTTCCAATTAAAACAAATGTTGGCCCTTATATAAAAAATAAAAAAATAAGGAAGGAACACTCCTTAACTACCATATTTTTCGCACCATAAGGCGCACTTTTTCCCCACAAAATGGGGGTGGAAAGTCTGTGCGTCTTATGGAGCGAAGAAAACAGATTATATTTTCCTGTTTTCTTCTCCTAAAAAATTGGTGCGTCTTATGGAAACGTGCGTCTTATGGAGCGAAAAATACGGTAAGTATGAAGCATATGCAGATGCTACAAAAAACTCCAGGGACAAGCTTCCATGCTTTATAAATGGATTCTCTTTTTCCTTTTCTGTGTATGCACAGTTTCCTAATTTGTTCAGAACTTTAAAAAAACTGCTTAGGAAAGACATATTGGACAAAACAGTTTTATTGCCTGGCTACTTATGGGATTTCATTTTATCTACTAATTGGAGCAGTGAGATGGTTTGGATCCTAGTAATTCTTGACTCATTTATAGGAATACAGAAGCTGATTTTGGCAGGAAGAGTGGGAGAAGCCATTGAAGCTACACAGCAGCTATATCCAGGACTCCTAGAGCACAATCCTAACCTCCTCTTCATGTTAAAGTGAGTATGTCCAGATCCATACAAGCAAAGTGAAAAGTGCAACAAGGAAGATAAACAAGCTAGAACTAAAGTTAAAGTATGAGCAATATATTAGGGAAAAGTATAGATAAGAAGACAATATATCACTTGAATAGGCATGGGGTAGAAGGTGAAGAAAAAATTAGTAGTAAAAATTAGTGTTTGGATGGTGTAGTAAAGGAATAAGAAATCAAGAAGGGAGGACTGGAGATGGATTACCCTGTTCTTTGTTTTTCGGGACTAGACAGCAGCCAGAATGTGGGTTCTCAGGCAGAAGAGAGGGGAAAGATTGGGGGGTTGATGGGTTTGGGGGGCTGTTTATCATTTTGTTTATGGTTTTATGGGGTTTCACTATTTGGGACCAGAAGGGGGAAATGAAGGTAAACAATAATTGTTAGTAGATTAAGAATATCAACTTTAAATGTGAAAGGCCTGGGAAAAGTTATAAAGAGGAAAATAGTAGAGGTGCTATTAAATAAGAATAAAGTAGATATAATAATTTTGCAAGAAACTCATCAAGCAAAATAAAATGTTAACTTATTTAAATTAAATTGGTCTGGTATTTATGACAAAATGTGGAATTTCGAGATCAAGAGAGGTCACAACGATCATTACTAAAAAAGTGGGGGGTTTAGAGATAAAACGAAGAAAGATAGTAAAGGAAGATGCATACAATAGGAACTTCGTATCTGTGGGACATATACACGTTTTCACTAAAAAATTGCAGGAATACAATACAGTACCTGTAAACATTCACTAAATAAATTGTGTGCACTTTTCTGAGTAACGTGATGAAATCTTCTGTGGTGGAAGAAGCAGCTGAGGACACTAATCTTCCCTTTGCTTGTGCTGTATAAGCTACTCAGATGTTAGTCGTTCATGGCATACAGATCAACTCTTGCAATACTACACTGCTCGTAGTTCAAGTACATTACCTCTGTTTAGCTAAATATTGTACATAATGGCCTCAAAGCACAAGAGCATTGATGCTGGCAAATTAGAAGTGCCAAAGAGAAATTGTAAAGAGCTTCGAGAATACATATAAAGAGCTTCCTTTAAGTGAAAAGCTGAGAATTTTTTATTTAATAGGGAAAGGGGAAGGCTATGCCGTGGTTACTAAAACGTATGGTAAAATTAATCTTCTATCCAAGAAATTGGAAAAAAATGTGCTACTCTTGCTGTCGCATCTCAACTTGCAAATGTTTGGTTGAGATGGAAAAGGCATTACATTTGTGGGAGGAAGACATGAACAGAAAGTGTGTTCTTATGGATGGTAATGTGTTGCATTAAAAAGCAATAAGCCTATATGACGACTTTAGCAAATAATTCATTAAAACAAAGGACACATTTATTGCAAGCAGGGGATGGTTACACAGATTTAGGAATAGGTTTGAACTAAGAAACAGAAAACTTGCCAGAAAGGCTGTGTCATCCAAAGCACAAGCTGCTGCCACATTTCCAGCAGAGTTTAAACAGGTGATTAAAAAAAAGGACACCATCCAAAGTAAATCTCCAGGGCCGGATGAACTGTATCTGAGAGTACTGGGATCTTGTTGGGTTAGCAGGCTCCCCGCGACCCAGCCATTTCCCTACCGGAGCTGGCGGACTTTGTCTCCCCAGCACTGTTGAGATCCCCAGAGCTACTGGTTCTGGGTGATTTCAACGTTCACGTGGAGGCAGAGATCTCTGGGCTGGCTCTTGAGTTCTTGGAAACCATGGCTTCCTTGAACATGTCCCAACATGTCAATGGCCCCACGCACATGGGTGGTCATACACTAGACCTGTTTTTTTCCCACCAATTGGAGTGAGTGTGGTCTGATGGTGACTGACCTCGTGTCGGTCCCCTTGTCATGGTCAGATCACCACCTAATAAAATGTAACATCACAGTGGCTCTCCCCCCTCGCAAGGAGCAGGGATCTATTTCCATGGTTCGCCCTCGAAGGCTACTGGATCTTTTTGGATTCCAGGATGCCATGAGAGGTGTTACGGCAGACCTGGCTGGCGCTGCTGTTGAGGCTCTGGTTGACAGCTGGTTCACTGCTGCTGCTAGGGTTGCAGACACGATCGTACCTAAACGCCCTCTCCAGCGTAGAGCTCAGCCAGTGTCCTGGTTTAACCAGGACCTTCGAGCAATGAAGCAGTGCAGGAGAAGGCTAGAACGCAAGTGGAGTATAATTGATGGATTATAATTGGATAGCTGTCAGGGTCGCAACTAACCTTTACCTGGCTAAGGTAAAGACTGCTAGTCATCTATACTTCGCTAACCGGATAAATGAATCTTCAAACCAGCAAGCGGAATTATTCCGTATAGTGTGCGACCTATCCGGAATTGGTCTGAGTGATGGGCCTCCCCCTAGTTTTTCACCGGACCAATTTGCAGCATTTTAAAAATCGAAAGTGGAGGCCATCCGCCGGGACCTCTCTCCTTTTTTAAATACAGTGAGTCAAGCTGAGATGTCCAGCGCTCCGTCTTGCCTGGTGTTTTTTGATTGCTTTCAGCCTGTGATGCCGGATACTGTGGACAAGGCGCTTGATCGCTGTTGTACCACCACCTCCTCCCTTGACCCTTGCCCGGCCTGGCTAATTAAAGCAGCCAGGTCTACAACAACAGAATGGGCCACTACAATAATTAATGGGTCTTTCCTTGAAGGCAGAGTCCCTTCTGCCCTCAAGGAGACACTAATTAGGCCCATTAGGGAGAAACCCAGTTTGGCGGTGGACGAAATTGGCAACTATAGGCCCATCGCCAATGTTTCTTTCATTAGCAAAGTGGTTGAGAGGGTGGTCGCTGACCAGCTCCAGGTGCACTTGGATGAAACAGATGCCCTGGATCTGTTTCAGTTGGGCTTCAGGCCGCGCCATGGTACAGAAACTGCATTGGTCACCCTATATGATGACCTGTTGAGGGAGGCTGACAGAGGCAAAGTGTCTCTGTCGGTCCTCCTCGACATCTCAGTGGCCTTTGATACTGTCGACCGCGGTATCCTCCTGGGGAGGCTCTCTGAGTTGGGAATCGGTGGCCAGGCATTTGCCTGGCTCCGTTCCTTCTTGGAGGACCATCCCCAGAGAGTACAGCCTGGGGCAAGTATATCGGCTCCGTGGAGTCTCAACTACGGGGTTCCACAGGGGTTGATTATCTCCCCAGTGCTGTTTAACATCTATAGGAGGCCGCTGGGTGGGGCCATCAGGGGGTGTGGAGCATCGTGTCATCAGTACGCTAATGACACCCAGCTCTACATCTCCTTTTCACCAACTGCAAGAGATGCTGTCCTGTCCCTTCAGCGCTGCCTGGGGACTGTACTGGAGTGGATGCAGGAAAATGGGCTGAGGCTGAACCCGGACAAGACGGAAGTTCTGAGGGTGGGTGCCCCCACAGTAGGTGGTTTTGGAAACTCTCTTTCGGGGGGGGTGTGACTCTTGCTGCCAAGAGTTGGGTTCGCAGCTTGGGGATCCATTTGGACCCGACGCTCACTATGGAAACTCAGGTGACGTCGGTGGTCCGCATCGCCTTTTTTCACCTTCGGAGGATAGCCCAGCTGCGACCCTATCTCGATGTTGGGGCACTCACTACCTTGGTGCATGCGCTCATAATCTCAAGATTAGACAACTGTAATGCGCCCTATGTGGGGCTACCTTTGAGGCTGATGCGGAAGCTCCAAGTGGTGCAGAATGCAGCAGCCAGACTTCTTAGTGGAGTGAGAAAATACCAACACATCTCACCCACTCTGGCCGCGCTGCATTGGCTGCCCATTCGGTTCTGCATTGACTTCAAAGTGTTGATGCTTACGTATAAAGCCCTAAACGGTTTAGGGCCTCGATATTTTAGGGAAAGCCTTCTCTCACCAAGATCTACCCGTATCACTTGATTGAGTTAGGAGGTGAGGCTGAGGAGCCTGACGCTGAGGGAGGCCCGAAAGGAAAAAACAAGAAATCGGGCCTTCTCGGCGGTGGCTCCTCACCTCTGGAACAATCTACCTCCAGAGATTCGTGTAGCCCCGTTGCTGGGTATTATTAAGACCCATCTAAAAACTTGGGTGTTTAAGCAGGCCTTACCTCCAGATAATAATTAATTTTTCTTTCTTTATCTATCCTATGTCATCTTGCCATCTTGGAAGAATGTGCTTACACAATGATTCTTCTGCTTAGAAACCTTAGTGTGCCTATGTAGAACGTCAGTATGTTGAAAAGGATAGGTGGGGGCTGTTTTAGGGCATAGCAGGAAGCTGGGTGGCTCCATTGCACCTTAGAACACACTCAATGCACCATTTTCTATATGGATTGTAGGGAATATTGTTAGCAACCACATTACTGATAACATCACTCATAAGCCTATGGTAGCTTTCCAAAGAATGGCCGCCCACATTCTCCAGGAAGACAGTTTGGAAAGCACTGATGTCTCACCATGATACTATTGCTTGACTGACTTATTTTTATAGCTGTAAATGTGTAATGCCCTGCCTTTTTTTTCCAACTGGGGCAATATAAGATGCAACAGCAATATTGTCAACCAAGACGTAAAGCAAAAAATCACAAATATATCAGACCTCAAAACATCTCCACTGCTTCCATAGGGAGTACCTAGAAGCCAACATGGATTTCTCAAGAACAAATACTGCCAACTAATTTGATCTTGTTTTTGATCAGGTCCCCTCCCTGAAAGAGGGAATGCTGTAGACATAGTATATCTTGACTTCAGCAAAGCTTTTGACTAAGTTCCCCATGATATCCTGATTAGCAAGCTAACTAGTGTGGGCTGGAGAGATCAAGTGTCAGGTGAATGCACAATTGGCTGCAGAATCGTACTCAGAGGGTGATAATTAATGGGTCCTTCTCTAACTGGGAGTAGGTAACAAATGGGGTACCCCAAGGCTCAGTCCTGGGCCCGGTGTTCTTCAATATTTTTATTAATGACTTGGATGAGGGAGTACGGGGAATGCTTGTCAAATTTGCAGATGATACCAAATTTGGTAGAATAGCTAATACCCTTAGAAGACAGAAATAAAATTCAAAATGACCTTGATAGAATAGCACACTGGGCAGAAAGCAATAGAATGAAATTCAGCAGGGGTAAGTGCAAAGTCCTGCACCTTGGAAATAGAAACCAGTTGCACAGTTACAAGATGGGGGATACTTGTCTCAGCAAAACTACGAGCAAGAAGGATCTTGGAATTGTTATAGATCAAAAGCTAAATATGAGCCAACAATGTGATGTGGCTACAAAAAAGGCAAATGCTATTTTAGGGTGCATTAATAGAGGCATAGTTTCGAAATCCTGTGAGGTGTTAGTCCCCCTCTATTTAGCACTGGTTAGGCCTCACCTTGAGTATTGTGTCCAATTCTGGACACCACACTTCAAGAAGGATGCTAACAAGTTCAGAGGAGGGTGACAAGGATGATCAGGGGGCTGGAAACCAAGCCTTATGAGGAAAGACTGAAAGAACTGGCCATGTTTAGCCTTGAGAAAAGAAGACTGAGGGGTGATAGGATAGCACTTTTCAAATATTTGAAAACCTGTCATACAGAGGAGGGGCAAGATCTGTTGTTGATCATCCCAAAGTGCAGGACACGCAACCATGGGCTCAAGTTAAAGGAAGCAAGATTTCGGTTGAATATCAGGAAAAACTTGCTAACTGTTAAAGCAGTATAACAGCGGAACCAGTTAACTCAGGAGTTGGTGAGTGCTCCGACACTGGAGGCATTAAAAAAAAAACTTAGATAATCACCTGGCAGATATGCTTTGACTGTATTCACGCACTGAGCAGAGGGTTGGACTTGATGGCCTTGTAGGTCCCCTCCAACTTCACTTTTCTATGATTGCTAAGTTTTCAGTTTCAATTAAACTGAAATAAGATGCCCAAAAGAACCTACATACATAAAAGTGCAAAGCAGGCAACAGGACATAAAGAATGGAAGGATAGATTAACTCTGATACTACAGTATGTGCAAATGCTGCAGGCCATATGATAAATCCAGCCATAGTGTTCCCCATGCACTTAAAAACAAAACAAAAATTCTCTGCCTGTGTTCTGGCGATATAACAAGAAAGCTTGGATGACAGCCAACTTGTTTTTGGAGTAGTTCCACCAATGCTTCATCCCAGAAGTTTAAAAAAAATTAGAGCAAGAAGGGTTGCCATTTAAAGCTCTATTAATTAATAATTGACAGTGCACCTAGCCATTCTGAATCTGTATGGCATGAGGATGAAAATGCTGAGATTGTATTTTAACCTTCAAATATAACCTCATTTCTTCAGCCACTACATTAGGGCATCATTCAGTGTAGGGCACCTTATGGAGAGAAGAAAGTGAAGGTGGCAGCAGCAGTAGTCTACCGGGGCTGGGTCACTCAAGTGCCTTCGCAGACTGGCCAGTTGTTGACTTCATCCCTGCTCACTGTCTCCCTATTGTCATCCCTGCCAACCTTGTTGCCTCAGTTGCAGCTCCCTCAGGATGCAACATCTCCCTTCTTACCCAACTGTCTCCTTTTTTCTTTGGCCTCTTTTTTCAAGCGCTAGATATTTAGTTATTCCTCTATTCCTCCTTAGTGCCTGCCCACCCTTTTGATACTTTGAAACATGATTGGGTCAGTTGTGAGTGACCAATTCACAGACTGGAGGGCAATATCTTCTGTCATTTCACTGGACAGCCATATGTTAAAATGCCACTGTTCTCACGAAGCAAACTCTGCAAGTTAATCCATGTTGTGCTGATCTGCAAAAAGTTCCAGGAATTGTCGTCTTGCCCCGCTGTTACACAGCGGGTCTTCAAGAATTTCCCAAAGGATGGGTTGCACATGTAGAAGTGGCTGCATCAAGAGGCATGGCAGATTGATGTTCATATTATATTCCACATCAAGATTGTCCGTGCTTTGAATCCTAAGAGGACCACAATAAAATCTTAATTGAAGTATTTTATTTTATTATAAAGGTTGCTGCTTGTACACCACTCCATAGTGCTTAAAGCACTCTCTGGGTGGTTTATAATTTAATTATGCAGGCTACACATCCATCCCCCAACAAACTGGGTACTGAATTAACCAGCCTTGGAAGGATGGAAGGCTGAGTCAACCTCGATTCAGCTATCTGGAACGGAACTAAGGTCATGAGCAGAGTCTTGGCTGCAGTAGAGCAGTTTAACAACTGCAGCACTATGGCAGAGGTGTCTTATATTTTCTGTTTTATTCCCAATGCATTCTAAGGATTAAAGCTGCTGAAGAATTGCATTGACATGTGCTTTTTCTGCCATTGTCCGTGTGTGTATGTGTGTGTGTTATTTTTTGCATACCCCCTAAATGTCTTGCTTAGTATGCCTAGAGGTATGCGTACCCCAGGTTGGGAATCACTGTGTTAAAATATAAATATGGAGATAGGAGACACATATATCCACTGATTAGGATTAATTCATCACAAGACAGCTTTGTGTTATGCTACACACACTAAATATCAACAATGCTGATATCATGGGGCAGAGTGCTAGTGGCACCAGAAAATTAGTAATAGGATTTTCTCCTTAGACTTTAACAGTTAGACTGAGTGAAGTGTTGTTTTACAATTTTTTTGTTTGTGTTTCAGTATGCTAAAAGGCTGAGTAATGTATTTTTCTTTCAAACATTCTTAATTTTAAGAACTCTAATATTTAGAGGTGCTCTCTACCTATATAGGATATAATGCTCCTGTATTTTTAAATACAACTTGCAACATTCTTTTTGGTCTTTTATTATACTTTGGTTTCTGTGTTTTCAGACTTAAATATCTGCTTAGAACTTTAGTTCAGTAGAAGGATTTGTGTGGAAGAAATGTTTTCTCCACCTGTCTTTAATAAATTTTGTTATTAATTGGAAGTAATTTTATTCATATGGCACATAGAAGCAATGTAAATTAAATAAAGTTGGTGGAAACAGAAGCTGAGGTTGCCTGAAATTATTGTAGTAATGAAAAGACTTGCACTTACTCTCAGCTGAATATTAATATGATTGTGATTACAGTGTGGTCTCTACTTAAGAACTTAATCCGTATTGGAAGGTGGTTCTCAAGTTGAAAAATTCTTATGTTGAATCTGCATTTCCCATAGGAATGCATTGAAAACCATTTAATCCGTATCTGCTCTTTTCCATCCATAGAAACTACAGTATTTGATTTCACTGGGATTTGAATCTTTCATTTTGGGCAAGGACTTGGTCAAATCCATGTGGCTTTTACCCAGCTCCCCTGATTGCTGTTGTTGGAATATTTGTGCATCATTGTGTGACTTTCAACTGTTTATAAGTTATTACTGGCTGGAAGATTTAGTTTCTATGCCAGTAGGGCTGATCTCAGAGAGGTGTTTCAATTGCCCTTTTTTGTTCTAATACTTGTCCCAGAAAGCCCTGGAAAGGATTGCCATAATTCTGAATTGACTTAACATTACATGATGAAGACGATGATGATGAAGCCACAGTTTTTCCACAAGCCATCCTTATTCTGCTATTTTTATGTTTAACTTCTTCTCCATGAACAGGTGCCGACAGTTTGTGGAAATGGTGAATGGAACTGACAGCGAAGTACGTTGTTTCAGTGCTCGCAGCCCCAAATCCCAGGACAGCTACCCTGACTCCCCCAACCTAAGTCCCAGGAACAGCTCTAATAGTTTGCACATTCACAGCACTGGTAAGCACTTGCTTATTTTCTAGGTAGGTAGCTGCTTGGCTATGTGCATTTACTTTATCCTTACATCTATGTGGAAGCCAGTATTAGGACATATTTTCCTAAATTCTGAACAGTGCCTTTTCCAAAGAAGTGTATATTGCATTGCCTGCAAAGTGCTGTTCAGATAAATTGTCTTTCTGTTTGTTTGGCATGACCGTGACCTAAACTCTATGGTAGCTGTCTGGATAGCTCAGTAAGTTGGAGTACCTGGTTCTTCTTCGTGGTCTCTGTGAATGCACACTAATGGATTAATCTGCGCCTGCGCAGAGCAGCTTCAGAACTTTCCAGAGCTCCCACACACTGGCTATAACCCCGGCACCAAGTGCCTCAGTTCCCTTCTTGCCGCCGCTGCAGCAGCTCCGTTAGGAACTGCTATGCGTTTGCAAAACCTTTTACCTAGCTTACTTACGTTTGACCCCCCCCCGGCTTTGTTTCGGACCGTTGACCATTCTTCATCATGAGTTTTGTATCTGAAAGAATAAAAATGGACTGTTAGTGCTGTTTACTGATTGCGGGGTTTATGGCCTCTTCGGGCCCCTTCAAGAGGTGCGAGGCCTGTTCTAACAAGATTCCCCTTTTGGATGGACATTCTCAGTGTTTATTTTGTCTTGGGGAAGAGCACCAGCCAGCCCTTTGTACGTTTTGTAAGAACTTTACTAAGCTGGCTTTGAAGTTGAGGCTTTCTGTGGGAAAAGTCCCTCTTTCCATCTCAGGGCGCCTCCATGGACCCCCCCGCAAGCTGAACAGCAGCCTTCAGTCACAAGATCTTCTCCGGCTTCTAAGACCCATAAGGGCGCTAAGATGGCAGCCAAGTCCAAAACTCCCTCCTCGGGCTTGAGGTCAACCACCCTGGTTTTGACACCAAAGCCCTCGGCATCAATGCCGAAGAAGGCACCCAACCTGTTCAGGCGGCTGAGACCTTGTTACCAATGCCAGAGACATCCTGGCGACATTCGGTATGCCTGACCCTGCCGTTGGGAGACGACGATGTGCTTCTGCAGGTGCCAGAGGCCACACCATCCCCGTGTGTCAGTAATTATCCTGACTGGGGTAACACCTCGGCTGAGTTGGAGCAGGCTAGCCCGCAATCTTCTCCAGGCTTGATTGGGCGGCAAGCCTCCATATCACCTACGGAATCGTTCATGGCAAAGGCTCTGCAGAAGTGGACTCATAAGTTGAGGCACTTGGAGCTCCCCCTTGAGGCCATGCCTTGCAGGTACCCGTTGGTACCGGTGCGTGAGTTGGCTCACTATGCAAGATGGTATTATAACAACCTTCTTCCATAAGCGGAGTCAGAAGGTTTCGAGCCCAACCCACGATTCTATTCAAAGGCTTACGGATACGACCCGTACCATTGGTATCATCCTTACCAGACCTAATTGCCCTCACTGTCTCCCTCTCCCCCCCAACACCAACGGTTTCACGATCAACTGGTCGATACTGAGAATGCTATCTGTCCTCTGCCTCTGCTGTGTCCCAGCAAGAGGTGCCTGCCTTCTGCTACAGAAGCTAAGCAGTAGTTTTGACCATTGTTAGACCCAGAGGGTTCGCAATTGGGCATGGAGCGCCCGCGCTCCCCTTCATGTCTCTCTGCTAGGCTGCAGGCAGGCAATCTGCAGGGCGATGCAGCTACCTACCACTTACCATCAGCTCCAGAGCACTACTCTCCTTCGATTGACCAGGAGGCTCTGGACTCGGACTCTGTGGCGTCGCTTGGTGAAGAGGAATCTCCTCCTAATGTTCCCACGCCGGTGTCTGATATTGCAGAAAATTATCTCCCTTGGCCATCTGAGGATTATTCTTACTATTTGCAACTAATCCTTCATATCACGAAGGTCCTGGAGCTCGACGTCGAGCAGCCTCCTGTGAAAAAAGTGGATAAGGTGTACGAGGACATAACCCATCATCAGTCTCCACCTCTCAGGCTTGGCTTTATACCATCCTGGTCAGAGCTCATGAGGGAGTCCTGGGTGAAGCTCTCCTCCTCCTATCAGATCCCCAGGAGGGTGGAGAATCTTTATAAAAACCTACGGAGAGAACACAGAGTTCCTCCTGAAACACCCTTTACCTAATTCCTTCATGGTAGATGCCACCCAAAATAGATCAAGGAACTGATCGGCGTCTTCACCTAACAATAAAGAGGGCCATAAGTTAGATATTGTTGACAGAAGGATGTACTCCTTGGTTTCTTTTGTTTTGAGAGTTGCCAACTATTCTGTCACCATAGGGACCTACCATCACCATCTATGGAATTTGGAGCTACCTGTTCTTGAAGTGGCACCTGAGGATGTCCGGGCCCAGGGCCTATCTTTTCACCAGGAGGCCATGTCGTTAGCTCGTCAAGAGTGTATTGCGGCTCAGCATAATGTGGATGCGGTGTCAAAACAACTGGCCACAGCTGCCTCCATGCGCCTCCATGCCTGACTGTGTATTTCTGAGGATGCAAGGGCAAGGTTTGAGGACCTAGCATTTGATGGCATTGGTCTTTTTCATGAAAAGACCAATGAGATTCTTGACAATCTGCTGAAGCTGAGGAAGACTGGCAGGTCCTACTCCAATCAACAGTCCCGTCCCAGGGGCTCCATGTCAGTCCAGAATTTTTCAAGATCGGCAGAGGCCTCAGGCCTTGGGGTTTCAGTCCTCATCTTCTAGGCAAGTCGACAGACAGCGTCTGCACCAGCAGGCACGCCGCCCGGATCGGAAGGCCAGGCAAACTCTTTGACACTTTCACCTTGTCTGGAGTTGATCCTTCGGTCCCCCGTGCCCCCTTCTTTCACTCCTAGTGCTCTATCACATTGGACTCCTGGGTTCTTTGCAGGGACTACGCCATTGAGTTCGATAGTTCCCCTGTCATGGGCCGCTTCTTGTCCACCACCTCCTTTCCTCCTTTGGAAGATGATGTTTGGGCCCTGCTCCAGAAGGATGCTATTGTCCGTGTACATCACCCCGACATGTCAGTGGGCTTTTATTCTTGATATTTCACCATTCCTAAAAAGGACGGGGGACTCTGCCCCATCCTCAACCTCCGCAACCTGAACTGGTATATTACTCCTCGACGGTTTTGTATGGTCTCTCTGGAGGCCACCATTCACATGCTTAGGCAAGGTGACTGATTTGTGGTAATAGATCTGAAGGACACCTATTTTCATATTAGCATCATATCAGATCACTGGCATTTCCTCAGATTTTCAGTCGGAGGAGTAACATATGAGTTCAAGGCCCTTCCCTTTGAATTGTCTACTGCACCTCGAGTTTTCACCAAGTGTATGGGCTTGTGGTAACGCATCTACATCTTCAAAGTGTCACAGTGTTCCCCTATTTGGATGACTGGTTGTTGATAGCACAGTCAGAGTTGCAGGCAGAGAAGCATACAGCACTAACTCTGTCTCTGCTGTCGACCCTAAGCCTGAAAGTCAGCTTGGAAAAGTCAACATTCTGTCCTACTCAGCAAGTGGCTTATATCGGGCCTCTCTCCTCTTAGAAAGGATCTCAAAAGTCCATGCTATGCCTACTTTGCCCAGATATGTGGGTACACGCCACATCTACCCAGTAGCAGTCCATGTGTCGAGCGAGGGAAATGCTCTGGCGGACTACCTCAGTTGGCTCCACTCCTGTTCTCACTAGTGGTCCCTAGACGCTGCCATTTTCCATCAGCTTTGCCATCATTGGGGCACTCCACAGCTGGACGTCATTGCAACTCAGGACAACAGGAAATGCAGGACTTACTGCTCCAGCGTGGGAGTAGGCCTCCACTTCCTGGAGGATGCCTTTATGGTGAGCTGGATTTCACACCTGCTCTACATGTTTCCTCCCATTCTGCTTTTACAGAGAACCATTGTAAAAATCCGGCAGGACAACGCAAGTGCCCCCTTGTGGCCCCACCAACCGTGGTTCTTGGTGCTCTTGAGACAGGGCATCGGATTCCATCAGGCTACCATTCGTTCCCCAACTGCTAACCTGGCACCAGGGCAGGGTTAGCAGTCCAGACCTGCAATCTCTTCACCTGATGGCATGGAGGTTTCCCGGTCTATAGCAGAGGTTCTCAGTCTGGCACGAAAGTGCTCCACCTCCCTGACATATGCCTATAAGTGGAAAGCTTTCTGTAAGTTTATGATGTCCTGCCACCTACCAGTCAGTTCAACATCCCTCGACACAGTCCTGCAGTTTCTGCTTCACTTGTTTCGCCATGGTCTCTCCCAATCGACTCTAAAGGTATATATGGCAGCTATTGTGGTCCACCAGCTGCCTTTCTCTCAGGCAGCTACACTCTTTTGACACCCTACCCTGAAATAATTTTTTTGAGAGCTAAGGAACATGCGCCCAGCCTACAGACCTCTCACGCTGCAGTGGTCACTCCAGCTGGTCTTTAGTAAGCTTATAAAGCCTCCTTTTGAACCCTTTTGAACCCTTAGCTTCAGCATCAGACCATCGTTTGACCTTGAAGACCACCTTTCTTCTTGCAGTTACTTTGGCTCGTAGGGCAGGGGAGACAGCTGCCTTAAGGGTGGACCCTCCATTCCTCCAGTTTCAGCCTGACAAGGTGACCCTATACCCGGACCTCTCCTTGCTACCTAAGGTGTCATCTTATTTTCATTTAAGTCAGCCAGTTGTGCTGCCCACCTTTTTCCCAGCACCTACCTCATTACTGGAGAGAGCCTTGCACTCCTTAGATGTTCAGCGGGCTCTCTTATTATGTTCATCGAACTTCTTTCTGCACTTCAAAAAGACTCTTTGTGGCCTTCCATGGCCCCTCTAGAGGGGCGCTGGCTACCTCTCAGACCATCTCCAGATGGATTGTGGTGACCATAAGCCTTGCCTACCAGCTGGCTTAGACACCTCTCCCAGGCACAGTTAAAGCACACTCAACAAGGGCAGTAGCCTCTTCGACTGCTTTTCTTTGAGGGGTGGACATAGCAGAGATATGTAGAGCTGCCACATAGGCCATGTCATCCACCTTCGTG